TGCCACGATCCACCATGATCTGCCCTGGCAGCCCAGCTGGCACAGTGCTTCGGTGACTGGAGAACCAGCTGTGCCGCTGCTGCCTGCTCCAGGGACCTGCCAAAGGCCATGGCCACGGTCCCTGCGCTGCAGCGTTGGTGCCAGGGCAGCAAACTGCAAACTTCCCAAGTGTTTGCACAGCGCAACAGGACAAATTGGTGTGTGGGAACAGAACCTCTCTGGGCTCTTTGAGTTTATCTGCAGAATAAACTCGTTAGCACGGGTGTGAAAAACCACAATCGTTTCTGGCTTTGCCTGGCCTCCAGTATCTCCCATTCCTTGAGGTTTTTGGGCAAGTCCAGCCCCAGCTCTGGTCATGGGGAGCAGCTGGTACCTCGGCCCATCAGCTCCCCTGAGTACCAGCATTGCAAATGGGCTGAGATAAAATCATTCTGACTTGTGCCCTTTTTTTTAGGTCAATCTACTGATCCCTTTACACCTGAAGGACAACAAAACGCAGTCTCCAAAGTGGAAGATAAACCTGAAGAAGAGCCTCAGCCTCACTAATCAGAGCCAAAACGCCAGCGGGGACCCTGTGCTGACGCCGAGTGAGTATCTGCCGGTGCCGCCCCGCAGAGCAAACCTGCGGCAGTTGCAACTGTTCAGAAACAAAAGGTTCAGTTGTCCTGAGTCAGGACGTGAGATCTGCTTGCAAAACTAGATTTTGGGAGTTTGGCCAGACTGGGGGGGAGGATCTGGAGCTCAGGCAGGATCCTGGCCTTCTGGATCAGTCTTAGTCTAGCAGGAATTTAAGGATTTAAGAGGAATTTTTCTGCCTGATATTAAGAATGCAGTGGGGAGCAGAGAAATGCTGCTAGCAGGTATTTGTCAAAGAGGATTGTCAGGTGGGGGGGTGAATTCAGGCAGGAAAGGAGGATCTCTGCTTCTTGGAGTTAACTCTTGGTTACCCGCTCTCACTTTCCCAGGCAGGATCTCAGACTCTGCTGGTGGAGAGGAAGGTTAGGGAGCCTTGGACCATGAGAGGAGAGCTAGATCCGTGTGTCCATCTCCCTTGGCTCATATTTGGGGCTCAGACATGAAAGACAAGTGCCTCAGCTCACACTATCCTTAGTGGAAGGTGCTGAGCTGCAGCAAACACCAGGGAAGGTACCGGATGCTCACAGCCCTGGGAAACAGGAGAGCAGGAGAGTGGATGCTGTGTCCGGAGCTCCTGGCTCTGCCTGGAGCATCCTCTCTGCCAGCAAAGGGGCTGGAGGAGCTTCTGCAGAGCGAAGGGCAGCAGAGTGGGTGTCTCCAGCTGTGCTGTGTCCTTCAGCCTCCCTCCCAGACAGGAACTGGTGTCCCCGCAGGGTTTGCTGGCCGGGAGCAGCTGCTCTGATGTTCTGTCAGCTAAATCGTGGTGCCGGCTCTGTCTGTGCAGCTGTCAGGGGATGTCCAGTGTGAGCCAAACAGAAACCAGGCAGGGTGAGGATGCACAGGGAAATCCTGCCCAGGGCTTAACACAGGGATAGCTACAGGGAAAACACACGGTGATTTGGATGCGGAGCCTGGAGCTGTCACCGGTGTGCCTGAAAGCTGGGTGGGCAGAACAAAGAGCTGCAGAATCAGTGGGCCAAGGAGGGAGAGGAGACGCAGGGCTCCAGACTCTTGGTGCTCGATGCAGCAGGGCTGGGGGAGCTTGCCCTCGGGCAGAGCAGCATTAAATATTCTAACACACTATTACATTTTCTAGAAAGTGACTTCTATTGCTTGCAATGTTCTGCATAGAATAATCATAGAATCATTGAATCATTTGGGTTGGAAGGGACCTTTAAAGGTGGTTTAGTCCAATAAAGGTTGTCTAGTCCAACCCCTCTGCTCTGCTCTTGGGTTATGCCAAAAGTGGGGTGTGGGGAGATGGGTCTGGGTCTTTGCTACGAACTGGTGGCAGATGCAGGCTGTGCTGTCGGCTGTGCTGGGCGCAGCAGCCCTCGTGAAGCGTGGAGGGAGGCAGCGAGAGCCCACAGCCCCCAGGGATGCTGCGAGGCAGGGGATGTGAGAGCTCAGCACCTCCTCGTGTCACCCTGTCCCAGATGGGGACACCCTGGGCATCCCTCCCACCCCGCCGAGCAGCGAGTTCCCCCTTTTTTTATCCCTGATGTCAATACCACTGATGGGAAACCAAATTGGCTTCCTGCCATTAGCAAGTTGAGTGAGTTTTCTGGCAAATTTAACACACCGGCTATCTGGTGCGCCAGCCTCGTGCCCTCCACCTGGGGAGGCTCGTGGCTGCTTTCAGAGCAGGCAAGTGCCAGGAAGGCTCGTGCCGGCAGCTCCTTGCCTATCATCCCGCGGTGCCAGCACAGCCCCGGGAGCAGCAATGATCTCCATCCCCACCAGCCCTTTTAAAAAGACCCTTTCATTTGCATCCAGCAGAAGTGAAGGTGTTTTTTTTTTTTCCAGGCCAGGGATGGCATGGGGCCAAGCGTGTGAAAGTTGAAGGCTGGAAGCAGCCTGGAGAGCGAAAGGTTTAATCGCTTTGCAGAAAGAGGATCACTTCTTCAGGCAGAGCCGGCGCGCGCTGGCAGCTGGCCGAGTAGGGGAAAGGCAGAGCCCCCGCTCGCTCGCCCTGTGGGCTCCAAAATAGTTGGGTTGGGCTGAGGAGGAGGAGGGCGAGGCGATGCAAACAGCTCCAGGCATGCCCTGCCATCTGCAAGAAAGGGTGTTGATCCCAGGTTGGTGACCTCCCTTCACGCCTGGAGATCTTGTTGGGTAAACGCTGGGCGGTGCCTGGGGCTGCTCCAGCCAGCCTCCGTGATTCTTCTGTCTCTTTTTGGCTAAATAAAGGGAGAGGAGGAAAAGAAAAACATCCAGAGCAGCCAGGAGGTCTTGTTGTTCTGCTGGTGCCATACGGATGTGCAACGTGAACTGGAACTAACGAGCGTGTTCCTCAAACAAAAAGATTGAGCTGAGGCTGTTGGAGCAGCTGCGTCTCATTCAGCTGCTTGAAAGTCCCCGTTGCACCGGGAAAACAGGAAAAAAATCCGAGTGCAGTGAGTGTGGCCAGAGCCCAGAAGAAAAACCAGGCAGGGATGGGGTTGGCTTTTGCACGCTGGGGCCACGGAGTGTCCGCCTGGGCACCATCCCAGCATCGATGCTGGGAGATATGGTGGGAGAGGAGGTGAGGGGCTCGGGCCTCCGCCCCCCCCCTCCTGCCGCTCGTCAGCCCGCGCCGCTGCGGGTGTGGGCTCAGGTTGTGGGTTCCCCCTCCCCTGAGCCTCCTTTGGCTTCCCGGGCTGCGTTCCCCCAAAAAGTGGGGATACTGGGGATGCGCTTGGCCTCCCCGCAGCACTGGGTGCCTTTGCGTGGTTTTGGTGGGCACGATCTGTGTGGCAGGATGTTGGCGGGGGCAGGTGTCCTGGTGCTGTCCCCTGGGTCCCCCTTGCACCCATCTTTCCTGCCGTTGTGGCTCTGCTCCTCTCCCCAACGCAGCATCGGGTGCCCAGCACGGATGGGGTGATGCTGCGCGGGGGCTGCTCTTGCCCTCAGCCCCCATTTTCCCCCCTTCTGCCCCCTGTGAAGCCCCATGCGGTGGGGGTGACCCGTCTCCCCACTGCCTGGGGCTCGTCTTTGGGTTTCTCCACCTGCCCGTCTCGAGGTCGCGCTGGCAGCAGCTGTGGGCCACCAAAACTCATCCCACCCTCACACGGGGAGAACAGACCCCCCCTTTGTCTGGGGGTGATGAGGGCACCTGTCCCAGCTGACAAAGAGCCCCTTGACTGTGCCCACAGCCCCGGGGGGCTGAAGTCCCAGCCCATCCTCCCGTGGCCTTTTGACTCGGGTTTTGTAACAGGTTTTTTTTCCGCGCCGTCTCTCCCCGAGGGTTTCACGAGGTGGGTCCTGGATGGACTTTTACCAGCACTGTTGAAACGGTGCTTTGCTGGCAGCTCTGGGCAAAGTCCCCGCAGGGGCAGAAGGAGAGGTGGGAGCCTGGCTGGCCTAGGGATGGAGTGGGGCAAGCTGGGGGGTGACCTCGCCCCAGGCAATGAGCTGGGGCTCCCCGTGGTCCACCCACCCTTCCCTGCCCCGGTCAGTCTGTCTCGGGCAAAAGGGTCACCCCAGCCTGGCCCTGTGCCCACTGGCAACAGGTTGCCCGGCGGGATGTCTGGCTGGGGCCACCACAGCTGCTGGGAGCAAGAGGTCGCATGCTGGATGCTCAGGTGCCATCCCCATGTTGAGACTTGGGGTTTCTTTCGGTCCATGAGGCCCTTTGAGACTGCTTCGGCCCCGGGGTGGGATGAGGATGCTTGGCCCTGGTGTTACCCCACCCCAAATGGGCTGCTCTTGGCTACCGCGGGTGTGGAGGGAGCTGGGAAGCTCCTCAGGTCTCTCCTCGGTGTGGAGCCGTGCTCTCCAGCCTAGGTCACCCCAGTCTGGCCCAACGCCCAACTTCTGCCTTGGACGGAAGCCCAAGGAGCTGTGTTTGGATAAATGGGAAGATAAGATACAGGGTCACAGCGCTTAAAGACGCTGAAGTCGGAGGCCATCGTCTCCAGCACGTGTCCTGAGCCGCAGCCGCCGCTGTGCACAGCTGGCCGGGCGCGTGGCCAGGGCCACAAGTGCCGGGGCCGTGGTAGACACAACCTGCTGAGGAAGTGGGACATGGGATTGTCTTCTCAATGGCTGTTTCCTTCCCCTGCAGAGCTCCCAGCAGATTGCCACCAGCTCTTCCTGGCCGGGCAGCAAAGCAGTGGTGTTTTCCAGGTGCAGCCCGCAGGGTCTCAGCCCTTCAGAGTCTACTGCGACATGACTGCAGGTAAAGCCGTGGAGATGTCCTGCGGTGCTTTGTGTGGTGGTCTTGCAAATGGTAACCCCGAATGACTGTGCCTTCCCTGCCTGCAGAAGGTGGCTGGACAGTGATCCAGAGGCGCACGGATGGCTCTGTGGACTTTGACCAGCTTTGGGATGCCTACAAGAATGGCTTTGGAGACCTTCACGGTAGGTGGATGACAGTGTCTATCTTCTTATTGTGGGATAAGTGGTGTCTTAGCACAAGTGAGACCCCACCTGCAGTGCTGCATTCAGCTCTGGAGTCCCCAACATCAGAAGGACATGGAGCTGTTGGAGCGGAGCCAGAGGAGGCCACGAAGATGCTCTGAGGGCTGGAGCACCTCTTCTCTGGAGACAGGCTGAGAGAGTTGGAGCTCTTCAGCCTGGAGAAGAGAAGGCTCCGGGGAGACCTTCCAGTACCTAAAGGGGCTGGAAGAAAGCTGGAGAGGGGCTTTGGAGAGGGGCGTGAAGTGACAGGACAGGGGCAATGGCTTTAAACTGCAAGAGGGGAGATTTTGATGAAGAAACAGAAGAAACTTGTTACATTGAGAGTGGTGAGGCACTGGAGCAGATTTCCCAGAGAAGCTGTGGCTGCGCCATCCCTGGAAGTGTTCAAGGCCAGGTTGGATGAGGCTTTGGGCAACCTGGTGTAGTGGAAGGTGTCCCTGCCCATGGCAGGGGGGTTGGAACGAGATGGTCTTGAAGGTCCCTTCCAGCCCAAACTGTTCCATGATTCTATAAGTTATTCCCCCTTGCTGAGCCCTGGAGATCTCCACATGCTGGAGCACAGCGTTGGGCTGAGGAGAGGAGGATGCTGCTCACAGAGCAAAAGTCCTTGGTCTTCCCGAGTTGTCCTGCAGGTGCCAGACAGCGATTCAAATGCTGCAGTGTCCTGGGTTGTCCCTGTTTGTCTCTGGAGCCTGTTCACGTGTCTGCTTTGCACGGCGAGTTTGTGTCCCTGCAGCCAATGCGACGTGTCTTGTTTCAGGTGACTTCTGGCTGGGCCTAGAGAAGATACATCACCTTGTCCAAGAGGGGAGATATGATCTCCTGATTGAGCTGGAAGACTGGGAGGGAAATTCCCAGGTGGTTCAGTTTGTCTTCAGCCTTGGTGGTGAGAGCACAGCCTACACACTCAGCCTGCTGGGACCTCTGGCTGGAGAGCTGGAAAACGCTATCGGGGACTTCAGGCAGCTGCCCTTCTCCACTCGGGATCGTGACCACGACCTCAAAGCCGACACAAACTGTGCCAAACACCTCTCAGGTCAGTACGAGCTCTTCCTTCCCAGTGGCGTGCACTGTCCCTTCAGCCCTCCACTGTCTGGTGGTGGCTGTGAGTGGGGCAGTGACCCCTTTGGCGTCGAGCCCAGCTTGTCCTCTGCTTCCCCAGGAAAGCTGCATCTTTGGGAGGAGCTGTTCAGGGAACTGGGAGGGAAGCTGAAACCAGGAGGGGTTCATAATTCAGGACTTGGCCCAAGCATCTGTCTTCTATCAGCTTTGCTGGCTGCCACCTTGCATGGAACCCTTTCAAGCAAAGCAGAGGCCAGTCCCCAGCCCCGAGATGGGGCTCTTGAAGGGTTTTGGGATTTTGCACACAAGAAAGTGCAGCAGGGCTTTGCAGATGCATCCTGAAGTCATACAGAACCTGTGCGAAGGTTTCCCAATGCGTGGGACTCCTCAAGTGTATGTGAGGTGGTCTCGTAAGGTCCCGAAGCCCTGGAAAAGTGGGGAAAATGAGGGTGGCAAGTGCCTTCAACTTGGGTTTGTTTTCTGTCTGGAAGTGCTGTGGGTTAAACCTGCCCCTCTGCATTGCCTCGGTAGGTGGCTGGTGGTTCAGCACCTGTGGCCATGCCAACCTCAACGGGAAGTATTTCCGCTCCATCCCCCGCCAGAGGCACGAGCGCAAGCAGGGCATCTTCTGGAAGACATGGAAGGGCAGGTATTACCCGCTGAAGTCAACCACCATGAAAATCCAACCCGCAGCGCTGGAAGCAGAGCCCTAAAACTGCCACTTGAGACTTGACCTTCTCTGTGGAGCACAGACCTGAGCTCCATCACTTGATGTTTACAGAAAACAAGCCCACTCTCCTTGGGAAGTCCCCCGAGGGGTGTTTCTCTTGGTTAGCAGCCCTTTAGTGGCATGACGCAGCTCCATGTCGCTGAAACCCCTGGATGGGAGCTCCCAAACCAGAAGAGGAGCCACCAGCAGGGAGATCCGCCTCCAGAGCGTGCACTTGGGTCTTCCAACCTGCCACGTGCTGCTGCCGCAGCAAGTTCGAGTTGTCTGGTGCTTTTTGTCCTGTCTGAACACTTCTGTGCTGGTTTTGATGAGCTGGGGCTGGCGAGAAGGGGAGCACGTGAAGTGTTTTGCTACCCTGGACTCAAGCGTTGGGTACGGAGCCTCGCTGTGTCCTGTCTCTCACTGCTGTTCCCAAAGGATGTCGTATGTGCCCTCCTGTGAAAGCACCCAGAGCCTCCTTCCCCCACCGGTGCCGTGGGGCAGTGAGCCTCGGGCAGCTCCGTCTGCTCAGCCCCTGCTCCTGTGACTTCAACCCGCTGAGAATATGGGTTTGGGTGGGAGGGCTGAAGGACACCCTGTGCAGAAGGGGGACCTCAGGCTCACTTGGCTTCCCTGGCCCCCATGGCTTCGAAGCCCTTTATTCCTGGCTGTTCTGGAGTTTGCTGGGAGCTGGGGAAACCGCTTCTAGCTCCAGGAGATGATGGGTGGGATCCTGCAGCCGGTTGCTTGAGGGCCAGATGCTGAAGGGCTGAGTCTTAAGCTCTGCCTGGAGCCTACCAGTGTAGGGGTGGTTGGGATGAGCACAGGGATTGGAGTAGTGACTGTCCCTGCTGCCAGCTGTAGGTCCCCCCACGCCTGAAGGGCTGCCTCCTCCTTCTCCCAACAGACTCCCCATACTTTGCGGAGTGAGTAGCACCGTCCCGTGTGTGTGCCCCAAAACTTGCTCTAAAGGGCCAGGGGACAGCAGGGTTCCTCTGCAAGAGCTGCGCCACCTCGTTGGGTGCGCACCCCATATGGGGTGGGTGTCTGGGGGGAGATGGGTGCCCAAAAACCGTTGTGGGCCACGCTGCCGTCTTGGGGCTTCCCAAGCGTCCCACCCTGTTGAAGTCATATTGACTGCTGTGCTAGAGCTCCTCGCTGCTAAATATTGTAAATAGTCGTTTGTAGGATGTTGGATCTTGTTGATGAATTTCCTGTTTTAATTTGTTTCCATATTTAAATGCAGTGTTAATAGCAATGTGGTGTAATTTATAAATGTTGATGCTGGGGGGGGGGCGGAACCAACAACTGTAGTTTGTGTATTTTAAACTCTTTTTTTTTTTTTTTTTTTGTACTAAAATATCTTTTCTGAAGATGTCTTTTAATAAAAACAAGGCTGGAACTGTCCTGCCTGGATTATTTCCCCAGTGGTTTACCAGTAGAAGGTGTGTGGGAGCTACATGAGGACTCTGCATTCAGAAACTTCACTTGTTTGACCTGAGCACTACGGTTCCTTCCGGCCTCGATTGTCACTGTAGCCTCACGGAGCTCTCGGAGGTACCTCCCTGCTATAGCCCCCAGTTTTTAGTCTGTTTGAAGTTTATGGACTTCCAAATCTTGTTTTCTCCCTGGAAATCAGGCCCTGGGGCAGTGAGTTTACAAGTGATGAGCAGACCTTTGATCTGTGGAGCTATTCCTTGTAGCTAGCTGGAGAGCCCTGGGCCAACTCCTCGAAGGAGAGCAGAGGCTCGGGTTTGGATTACCTGGATGGATTAAAATCAGCTCATCAGGACAAGCTCCAATTAGTATTAGCCTTTTACCTGCTCATCCCATACGTGTATATTCACCTCCGAAAGCATTTATGACAAGTTCTGGGGAACAGTTGTATATGTAGGAATGAAATGAGCTGGAGGTGGAGTGGGAGCCTTGAAGATGATGAGGGTAAACTCCAGCTGCACTCACGATCCCAGACATGTGGCTTGATACTGGAGCTGGAGAAAAGAGCAAGTGATTCTTTAGCTGGTCAAGGAAGGGGGACAAAAATTGTTCACTGCAGATGGAAGAGACTAGAGGCTGCTCTAGTCCCCTGAAGCAGCCGTATAAATACCTGATGGACCCAACTGTGGCCCCAGCTCCTGCCTCTGTCTTTCCCTGGAGAAAAACGTGGGGTTAATGATAGCCCCAAGCACAATTGCACAAACAGCCCATTGTAGCCAGCTCTGTGCTGCCTATCTGCTCACTCTTGCATTCAGAAATACATTTTTAATGTTCCATTTGCTTAATTCAAAGCTTGTTTAGTCCCTGGGGGCACCAGCAGATACTGGAACGTGGGTTTTCAGTCTGGATGCTGAAGTGATCAGACTAAGGTGGGTTTTATGCACCAAACAGAAAGCGGTGAAGGAGCCAGGCTGTATTTATTCACTGCCAGCATGTTTTTTTTTTTGGCAGATCTGGGGTTTGGTCCCCAGTGGTGCATTTGATCCTCAGCATCTACAGGGGGTGCCTGGAGGACAAAGCCAGCTGGTACCAAACACCAGCCAGGGGAAAGCCCCAAATCTTGCCTAGCCCTGGCACGACAGCTGCTGCTTCCTTCTGTGTCTCGGTCTCACCCTGTTCTGCCGTGCGAGTCTCCACGTCCCCTCAGTGCCAACACCACCCCATGTCCCCAGACCAGCCCCACGCTGGAGCGTGTGGTGTCCCAGGGCCCTTCCAAGGTCCTTCTGCAGAGCCAGTCCTGGATCTCTGCGTCTGAAACCTCCTTGGAATCCTTCAGCTCCTTCATTTGTAACAACTGCTTGAAGCTCAGGTTGTTGTGACATCTGGCAGCCCGAGGAAGGCTGGGGCAGCTCCCTCCAGCGACAGCGAGAAAAACGGCTCCGTGCGCTGCCCAAAGCGCAAAAACCCTTCGGGTTACGAAACGCCGCTGCTCCCCAGAATAGGCCATCGCTCCCATACGGACCGAGCCGTGCTGGGCCAGCCTGTGGCCCCACACCAGCTCCTGACACAATGGTCCACCCAGGTCTTCGATCCCTGCAGCAAAACCTCACTGAGCAGCTGGGGAGAAGGGCTGCTGCTCGCTTTGGGTGCTTGGAGGGGCTGTGCCGTGGACCATGATGGGATCCAGGCTCAGCACACCGAGCGGCTAAAGGCTGCGGGGTCTGGACATGGTGGGACAGGGCTTTTCGGGGTCAGGAGGGCTGTGGGACAGGCTGGGGCTGCAGTGGGGTGACACAGGGCTGGTGCATCCCTCAGTGCGGAGCTTGAGCTCATCAGTAGCAGCAGATTGAACTGCAGCTGGTTTGGACCCGGGGGGTCTCTCAGAGCATCAATGCAGCAAGAAGATGTTGCACATCAGGTACTGACACCCCGACCCAACTCCGTTTGGTGGCCCCAGAAAGCGCAGAGAGCCCCGACCTGCTGCACAGAGCCCCCCTGAAACGCAACCTACATCTGGATGGCAGAAACGACCGCGGGGGATTCGACAGTGGGGCCTCAGGCCCTTTTTTATACAACAGCAGAACCTGAATCACTCTTTGCAAAGCTTGGTAGAAAGGGAAGGTGTTTGGGCATATGCAGAGCTGCACCAGCTCGGGCGGACGGGCCGAGCCCCCTGCCCCCGTGGCACCGAGATGCTGGAGAAGATGTTGGCAGAGGCATTGCCCTGAGCCCCCCACCGCCAGCGCGGCAACGAAACACGAAAGGCAAAGTGGCCAACTCCCACGTGAATCTGAAATCTGGTGCAAAGCCAAGAAACAGCAGATTAATAACAAGCAATGAGTTCTCCGTCCACCGACACTCCCCAGGCACCCCCCAGCCTGGCTCTTGACCCCAGTCCTCGCCAGTGCCAGCAAGAGTCACACTTTCGAAGGTGTGCCTCGCTCCAAACACCTCGGGGCATTTGGATTTTCAGAGCCTGGTTCATAAAAGGAATGATTTCCAGTGAGCAGGAGCTGGGTACCCCTGCAGATAGGCAGCTGTTAGTCTGGGTGCTGCCTTTTCGCATTCTCCCCCGAATGCTTTATTAGCACTTAAATTTGGGAAATGGAACCTCATCAAAACCACAATCCCACCTGTCCAGGGTGTTCAGGCATTCGACGAAGTTGAGGGCAGCTCAGCATGGCTCAGCCCAGAGGGTCTGAACCACCATCTCCCCTTTCCCTGTTCCCACTCATGCTTTGAACATCTCCAAAAATAAGTCCAAAGCCACGTTTTATCCTGCCCGCTGTCTC